TCACTTTGGGTAGGCTCATTGATTAGGGTTACTCTTCTGGGGGAGGGGGGGGGTCTGTAATTCTATCAATGTGCTGCTTGTGTCACTTGTGTGTTCATATGGAGCTCTACTTCCTTCTGCAAGTCCCCTCCCAATGGAGCTACCCTGCAGGACCTAGGTTCCCCAGGGCTGGGTTCCTCCAGCCCTAGAACTAGAGCGTCCCCTACCACATTGGCTGGGAGAGTGCATGCAATGAGCCAGCCAGCTGAGCCAGTGTCTCCCCCAGGGAGAGCGCCCCCTACCACCTAGGCTCGGAGAGCACATGCAATGAGCGGCGAGTCTGACAGCCCCAGCTGGCATCCACCCTGGGCTGGGACGCCCCCATCCCCAGAGCACCCGGGCTGCTCTCAATCCAACACCTGCAGCCAGGAAGGGATTGAAGTCAGGTCAGCCCAGGTGAAAACCTGAGTCCCATGGAGGGGTCAGAGGCAGCTGGTCAGGTCTTGCCTGGCCCCTGTGGAAACAGCACAGCTGCTGGCCTGGACAGCGCCCGCCCAGAGCGCTGGGATGCCTGAGTCATTTTTGCTGCAGGAAGGGCATGGACGAGGCTGAGAGTAACAGGGGTGCCCATTACCCTGGCGTGGAAGGGGTTAAACACAGCAGGGAGAGTTGGTCCCAGCTGTGCCCTGGGCTAGGCGGAGAAGCTGGGGTTCCCCAGCCAGGGTCTTCAAGCACCCCCCCCAGCACAGGCCTCCACTCTCCTGTACAAGGCCCGTGCAGCCTCCACTGCCATCCAGTCGATGGCAAAGTCCATCTGGCGCACGAATGGGGACATGCGGGCGGCCACAGTATGGGCAACACTCAGCACCACACTGGGCTGTTCCCGCACGATCCTGGGGAGAGAGCGGGCAGCTCGTCAGTGCACAGGTGGCCCCGTTGCTGCCAGTGCGCTGCTGACTGCAGCCGCCCCCTCCCTGAGTCACCCACCTCCTCTGGAACAGAGCCAGCCAAGAAAACATGGCACCAGGACAGATCACAGCCCAGGGCAGGAGAATCCAGGCCCATGCAACAGGTGCACAATTGGAGGACTGGGACATGGGGCCTCTCCCCTCTAGGGGGAGGCAGCTCCAATCCAACCCAGGGCAGGGGACTGGCTGGTTTATGGGGGTGGGGAATGGGACACGATGCCTTTCCCCTCTAGGGAGCACTGGCCCCAATCTGACCCAGGCCACCAACCTAGATGGAAGTGGGGTGGGAGGTGGGTAGAGCCTGCCCACAGGATGTGGAGGGGAAGGGGGACACCAACTCGTAGAAGTCCGAAGTGGAGATCTTGAGGAAGGTGCAGTCACGCTTGGCCTTGATGGTGAAGATGAGGGGCTCCCCGGTCAGCACAGCCAGCTGGCCCACCATCTCTCCAGGCTGCGGCAGAAAGAGACACACATCCTCCGCCTTGTCAATCATGCGCTGGTAGACATGTAGGCAGCCCCACAGCACGAAGTGAAGGCTGACGTCCTGTTGGGGGGTGGGTGCGGAGGATAGAGAGGAACGTCAGCCCCAGCACCAGGGTGAGGGGCAGGCCTGCCCCCAAGGTGCGCACCCACAGATAGGCGGCCAGGAGACCTGGGGGACAGCCTACAGCTCCGGCTGAGCCTGAACTCTCTGGAGCACCCCACTAACCTTGGCAGAGCCACAGCCCAGCATAAATTCCCCCAGCTCCATGGAAACCAACCCCTCCCCATTCCAGCTGTGCGGGGGTTTAATGTTTCCTAGGCCTGAGGCCCAGCACCCGGGGGGGGAACGAACGGGGGGGGGCTGCCATCCCACCTGCCCAATAGGCATGTAGCCCGGGGTGGGGGTGGGGGAGCGCACAGGGAACCTCTGGCGAGGGCGCTGCCAAGCTTCCCTCCCCACCCCCCTGCCCCAACTCACCTACACCTCTGCCTCCGCCTCCTCCCTTGAGTGCGCCAGGTCCCTGCTCCTCCACCTACCTCCCAGCACTTTGCCGCCGCAAAACAGCTGTTTCACGGCATAACAAGCTGCAGGAGGAAGGGGGAGGAGCGGGAACACGGCGCGCTCAGGGGAGGAGGTGGGGCTTGGCAGGGGATTTGGGGAAGGGATTGGAATAGGGGCAGGGAGGGGCAGAGTTGGGGTGGGGACTTTGGGGAAGGGGTTTGAATGGGGGCAGGGCATGGGCGGGAGGGGGCAGGGCAGGGGTGGAGTCAGGGCGGGGTCGGGCGCAGAGGTGGGCAGCACCCACCAGCACCAGCAGAAGTCAGCACCTATGGCCACAGTGCCATTGACCTCCACAAGGAGGGACTCAGCGTGAGAGGCTGAGGAAGCAGCAAGGCCCTGTGATGCTGGCAGACCAGGTGCCAGCTCATGCCAAGGCCCCCAGGCCTCACTGAGCACTGACAAACGCAGAGCCGGGAACCAGGCTGGCTCACCAGTGTGTTCACACTGTTAGAATAGATGTGAAGTTGATGAGAATGTGTTTGGTGTTTAGAAATACTGAAATGCTTGTAGGATGCTGATCTCACTTATCACATCACTGGAGCCTATGGTGTAGTTACATCAAGCGTTTGCATTGTAAACCTCTTATTGTGTAACTCAACTTCCTTGATCCCACACACACCCCGCCCCCAGACACACCCATAAAGGGGAGCCAAGCACCGACCGACACTCGTTCCATCTGTGTGAGCTCTGGGGGAAGGAAATAAGGCCTGACCAGAAAGATCTGTATCACTGCCGGGGATTGGCATTCAGGGAAGGCAAGATTTCTAAGCATAAGCAAGAGATCCACAAGCAGCTTAGCTTGGGTTAGCCCTAAAGGTCGCATAGAGCAGCAGTTCTCAAACTTTTGTATTGGTGACCCCTTTCACACAGCAAGCCTATCAGTGCACCCCCCTTATAAATTAAAAACATTTTTTATATTTAAAACTATTATAAATGCTGGAGGCGAAGCGGGGTTTGTGGTGGAGGCTGACAGCTTACAACCCCCCAGGTAATAAGCTTGCAACCCCTTGAGGGTTCACGCCCCCCAGTTTGAGAACCCTGGTATAGAACTTGCACATTACAGCAGCTTCTACTGCCTTTTGGAACCTGACTATACCTCACTTGTGTGCGTCTGTTACGTGCTTTCACCTAGTGAATAACTCTCAGTTCTTTTCCCTACTTAATAAATCTTTAGTTAGTATCACAGGATTGGCTACAAGCATTGTCTGTGGTTTGAGATCTGAGGTACAATTGACCGGGGGTAAGTGACTAGTCCATTGGGTGAGGGAGTAACCTGAATACTGCTGTGATTCTTGGTGTAAGGGCCCATTTATCACAAAGGCCGGCTTGCCTGGGTGGCAAGCTAGACCCAGGTGCAGCCAAGGACTGTCTGTGACTCCATGGTAAGGCTGTTATAGTGCTTTAGGAGTTCACGCTTGTTACTTGGTGAAATCTTTACAGAGCACAAAGCCTGTTTGGGGTTCGTGCCCTGGTTTGTACAGTCTGCCCTGACGTTGGCACACACGTTCGTGAGCCACTCCAGGCAGCTTGGCAGCCCCATGACCCTGCTCCTCATGCAGCCATCAGCACCGGTGCAGAGTGGGTGAGGTGCCCCCACCCCAGCAGGCAGCATGTCCTGCCCACTCCAATCTGGGGCTGCTGCAGGGCAGTGGGGATCAGGCCCCAGCTGCCAAGAGACAACAGCAGCACCAGCTCAGAGCACCTGCTACCTGCTTAGCTTGGGTTAGCCCTGAAGGTCGTATTGGTGACCCCTTTCACACAGCAAGCCTATCAGTGCAATCCCCCCTTATAAATTAACCTGGTCCCATCCTGGGAGAGTTCCACTTACCTGAGATATCAACTGGCATGGAGATGCAGCGGCTCAGCAGTGGCACTGCAGAGGGCTCCAGGGACCCCAGCTTGAGCTGATCAGCTGTGAGGGTGACACACACATCCCGTTACACTGGCACAGCGAGCACACGGAGTCCAGAGCCTCCCCTGCCCTGGGTCGGACCCTGTAGCCAGGCCACCTCCAGGGGCAGGATTGGTGATGAGAGCCACTCCACAGCTGTCATGGCATATGGAAGGTGTGGACCAGTTCCGTGCAAGGTGAGTGCCCGGGCCTCCACCCCGCTCCCTGCAGCACAGCACCCTGTACTGAGCCCTTCTGCACCCTTGACTTCTTTCACCCCTGTCCGGGCCATGCCCAGCTCAGTTGCTCTGAGGGGGAGCACAGCTGCTGCGTTCCCCTCCCTGAGCCAGGGCAACCCTTACCCAGGTCCTTGGTGCTGGCATCTGGCTGCCTCCCAGAGCTCTCCTTATGGTCGTCGATGGAGGAGACACTGATGACGCGCTTGCTGTGTCTGACAGGGCTGGTGCGCGAGGCATGGCTGGGCTGGGGGAAGAGCCGCAGTGGCTGCAGCTCCTCCATGACACAGCTGGCATCAGCACCAGGCCAGGCTGGGCAGTGTCAGCCTGGGGACCAGCCACACCCACCACTCAAGGCCAATAGGGGCCATTCAGAGCATCTCGTCTGACCTCCCCCATCACGCAGGGGGCAACACCTCCCCCAGTGAGTCCTGCCCTCACCCCAGAGCAGAGCTGAGGCAGAGGGACGGGGACGGGCACAGGGATGGGGACGGGCACAGGGACGGCTTGGCTCCCCTCACTTGGCTGATGGCCCAGGAGGGAACATGCTCCACGCCAGCAGCCGCATGGCTTGTGTGAGGGAGACCCGTGTCCACGGAGCTGCGTAACGTGGGAGGGGCCAGATGTGCCACTGTAGACAAGGAGAGCGCAGAGCCCAGCTGAGCCCAGAGCGCCAGGTGCTGCCGCCACACGATGGCCCCGCAAAGCTTGCTCTCGGGCTGCTGGCTCCCTGGCAGCTGGGGCGCAGGGGGTCACAGCGCTGGCCCAGTGACCCATCTGAACGCTGGCTGGTTCCTCTGGCATCAGAGGATGGACCCGGCTGTTCCCACAGGCCTTGGCTCCACCCTGAGCCAGGGGCTCCACCCAGCAAGGCAGGGAACGCTGCTCCAGCAGCCAAGTCTGAGGGCAGAGCAGGGCTGTGCCGGGAGAGGGGCTGCTTGGGTGCAGGATTCTCCACCTCTCCAGAGCCGCCAGGCCGGGAGTTAAGGCGTCTCACTGTGACTTGCTGCCAGCAGGGGGCACCCTGCCAGGCCCTGCTCCATCCCTGCTGCACAGGGATCCCCCCCTTGCAGACACAGGGGCTTTGCTCGGGGGGTTCTAGCTCTTTCTGTCCCCTCCCCAGCCAGGTGCCGGCCTCCAGCCCCGCTAGTGGGACCAGGGTTTGGACACTGGCCCAAGTCTGGCCCAAACTGCCATGGGCAGGAGGGACCGGGGATGGGAAGGACGAAGGTTCTGGTGCAGGGAGCAGGACCCACCACTCCCGTGGGAGGAGCTCCAGGGCCAGGCCCATCACTCCCATGGCTGAAGAGTTCATTAGTCAGCCTCAGGTAATTGTGCAGGGCCAGGAAGGTGACTCGCTGCAGACGCACCACGATGATCTGGAAGGGAAGGGGAGAGTCTGAGCGTGCGGCACAATGCAGGGGAGGGGAGGACATCAGCACATGGGATGGGGGCCGAGGCCGCACTCACCTGCACCACCCTGCACCAGGCTCTCGGGGTACTTCTCGAAGACGGCAGAGAAGGCCTCGACCGGCAGCCGCAGCATTGTGGAGTCCTCGCCCACCCGCGCAGACACTGTCCGGTACGGCCGCTGGTGTCCCTGCTACGGAAACCACCGCTAAAGTCAATGTCATGCTGGGGATTTCCCCAGCCTGGGTGTGTGCCAACAGAGTTGGCTTTCACTGCCCTCTCTGAAGCCCCAGTGCAGGCTGTGGGGCAGAGGTGGGAAGGGGCATGTCAGGGGTGGGGGAACAGCCAGAGCAATTCTTAGCTCACAGTGGTCTCTTAGGAACTATGGCAAGTTTATGCAGGCCAGAGAATCCCGTGAAAATCAGTGTCGGTTCTGAGCCCAGCGTAACGAGGGCACAACAGAGAACTTTATTAAAGAGTGAGTGGAACATGCTGCTTCAGGGCCAACACAACGCTTAACTTTAGTCTCTTAATAATTTGCATATTTAGTAACGTTTCCAAAGAGCAAGACGTAAGCACGTTGCTAGCAGTCATAGAGATGCAGAAAAGCAGAAGTAACTGCACAGCTTCCTCTTTCAGAACCAATGTCTGTTTGGTTAACTCATAGTCTTCCCCTTTTACAGGGTGAATGTGCTTGAAAGTGTGGTTTTGAATTCGGCATGTGTCTTCTTTTATTAGTAACACACTGACTCAGAAGTAGGGTGACCAGACAGCAAGTGTGAAAAATCGGGACGGGGGTGGGAGGTAATAGGAGTCTATATAAGAAAAAAACCCAAAATCGGGACTGTCCCTATAAAATCAGGACATCTGGTCACCCTACTCAGAAGGTGGTGCTCAAATCCCAGTTTGGTTTAGGCTCGGGTTTGGACTTTGAAGCTGAATCTGGGCCAGGGTTTGGGCTTTAATGGCACTGAAATCTTGGAGCTGTTCTAATGAGATTTTGGCCCAAAATAAGAGTGGCTGTTCCAGCTTGTGAGATTTTGGGTTCATGTAAGGATATAGTTCAGTATTTGCATCCATCTGCAACCAAGTCCACAGGTGTTGGTTTGGTTCCGGGGATTTTAATTGTTCCTCCTGCCAACCACTCAGTTCTAAAATTCAAAGGGCTATACCGTTAATGTTCTATTTCTGACCCCCTTTAACAAGGAGTAACCTTGTATTGATGTAGCTCGTTTTTACTGACAGACCCCATCTCATAGACTCATAGACTCATAGACTTTAAGGTCAGAAGGGACCAATATGGTCATCTAGTCTGACCCCCCGCATGATGCAGGCCACAAAAGCTGACCCCCCCACTTTCCCTTAACTCTGCTGTTGAAGTCTCCAGATCGTGATCTAAAGACTTCAAGTCGCAGAGAATCTTCCAGCTTGCGACCCCTGCCCTATGCTGCGGAGGAAGGCGAAAAACCTCCAGGGCCACTGCCAATCTACCCTGGAGGAAAATTCCTTCCCGACCCCAAATATGGCGATCAGCAGAACCCCGAGCATACAGGCAAGAATCTCTAGCCAGACCCTCATTTTACCAGCGATGGCCGTTGTTGCCTAATTGATTAGAATCACGTAATCCCATCAAACCATTCCCTCCATAAACTTATCTAGCCTAATCTTGAAGCCAGAGAGGTCTTTCGCCCCCACCGTTTCCCTCGGAAGGCTGTTCCAAAATTTCACCCCTCTGACGGTTAGAAACCTTCGTCTAATTTCAAGCCTAAATTTCCCCACGGCCAGTTTATATCCATTCGTTCTCGTGTCCACATTAGCACTGAGCTGAAATAATTCCTCTCCCTCCCTGGTATTTATCCCTTTGATATATTTAAAGAGAGCAATCATATCCCCCCTCAGCCTTCTTTTGGTTAGGCTAAACAAACCAAGCTCCTCGAGTCTCCTTTCATAGGACAGGTTTTCCATTCCTCGGATCATCCTAGTTGCCCTTCTCTGTACCCGTTCCAGTTTCAGTTCATCCCTTTTAAACATAGGAGACCAGAACTGCACACAGTACTCCAAGTGAGGTCTCACCAGCGCCTTGTATAACGGAAGCAGCACCTCCCTGTCCCTACTAGAAATACTTCGCCTTATGCATCCCAAGATCGCATTAGCTTTTTTCACAGCCACGTCGCATTGCCGACTCATAGTCATCTTGCGATCAACCAGGACTCCGAGGTCCTTCTCCTCCTCAGTCTCTTCTAACTTATGTGTCCCTAGCTTATAACTGAAATTCTTATTAGTCATCCCTAAATGCATCACCTTACACTTCTCACTATTAAATCTCATCCTATTACTATTACTCCAATTTACAAGGTCATCCAAGTCTCCCTGCAGAATATCCCGATCCTTCTCCGAGTTGGCAATGCCTCCCAACTTTGTGTCATCCGCAAACTTTATCAGCCCACTCCTACATTTGGTTCTGAGGTCTGCTTTAACAGTTTAAATAGGAATCACTTCACTATTATAATGTAGCTACCTCTAGGCTGAAATGCAACAACAATGCACAGCTGCACTGCACAACCATTTAGAACAGGAGGGGAAGGAGAATCATGGTTAAGCAAAATGCCAGGAGCAATTCACTGCAGAAGGTGGGATAATTGAAGGAAAATGGGGGTTTTGGTGGGATAGTCTCTGGCTGAGCCCATGGATTTTGCCACTTCATCAACCTCCTGAATTGTAGCAACCTTCCTTTAACCAGGAATTGAACGCTTTGATGTCCATTTGTGCAACTGTTAGATTAAGTAGAGAGCTGGCATAAGAGTGACATGAGAACCCGCCTCACTACAGAAGTGCACTGCCTCTGCAGGAGCTAGACTTGAGTGCAGAGTATTAGCCAGAGGAGCATCCAGCTAGCTCATAAATGTTAATTTGTATTTAAAAGGCAGACAAGAGAAAAGCCAATGAAAGCTTCCCAAGATAGTTAAGACTATTGTCCCTCGGCCCGCGCCACTTCCAGAAGCTCCCATTGGCCTGGAGCAGCAAACCGCGGCCAGTGGGAGCCGCGATCAGCCGGACCTGCGGACGCGGCAGGTAAACAAACTGGCCTGACCCGCCAGGGGCTTTCCAAGTTTGGGAAACACTGGTTTAGTGTAATGCTGCCTTTTTGAGGCATTTTCTCTTTAAATATGGCTGCCCTGGGCCAGAGCAAGTGGGGGGCCTTTCCCCACCCCTTCCATTGGCAGTTCCACCCCTGTTCTGCCCCTTCCACCTGCGGCCCTGCCCATGGCCTCACCCCCTTCTGCCTCTTCCCCTGCGGCCCCACTCTGTTCCAGCCATGGTCTGCCCCATTCCATCCCCCCAGTGCGGCCCCGCAATGTGTTTGCTCGTTTCTGCAGCTCCCCAGACTGGAGAAGTTCTGTCCCCCCTCCAGCTATGGCACTGGCTGCAGTGAGGAGTGAGAGCTCCCCCAGCCCTGAGGCCACAGCACGGGGCGAGAGCTCCTCCAGTCCTGGGACCGCAGCCTGGGTTGGGATTCTGGGGCTTCCCCCACCATCCCACGCTTCTGCCAGGGTGTAGGATCAGGGCCCAGGGACTTCCCCTGCCCTGCCCAGCACTCCTGCCATCGAGCGGGGTTGGGGAACGGGGGCACCTATTTTTCCAGGACCCCCAATTGGTCAGGGCCCCTGGCCACAGGCCCCGTTGGCCCAGTGGCTAATCCACCACAGGCTATGATATATGGAGATATATGCGTCTAAAGATGCTGAATAACGGCCTTAGCTGTGGAATTAGAAGGCCTGGTCCTGTGAGTCTGCAAGTGTCCTCAGCACCGTCCTTGCAGGACAAGTTTAGAGACAGGTGGGGCATGGCTGCCCTCAGGATGCTATTTGTCTG